ATATCCCATTTGTTATCTTAAGTGATATATAGAACTATCCCCCTATATAAAAATAGTAATATGAAATTAATTTACATCAGATCTACTATGGAACCCAAGAATTACAGCACCATTAGAAGTATTCTAAAAAAGGAGCAAGGTGAAAAAATTGCTCCTTACATTTTTAAATTAGCAGATACCAAATCTCTGCAAACATATTTAGACAAAGAAAGGATTACTTATGAAATTTATCAAGAGGAAAGAGTTTTCAAAAGAGTGTTAGAGAATTCTAGTAAAGAATCAAGAAAAAAAAAGAAAACTGGCAGAATAAAAAACTAAAACAAATAATTACTTTGTTAATTTTTAATTACCTTTTATTTTCAATCAAGGACATTCATCAGGAAATTAATTTAGCATAAACTTGCATAAATCTTACAATGCCAATATAATATCATGTAAATCTTATGGTGCCGACATAAGTTTTACACTTTTTTATTATTAAATTTACAATTGACATGTGCAATTTTTTTTATATTTTCCGGATGTTTTTTAGTTTCTTTAACTTCAATTTGTGCAGTTAATTGAGTCTGCTGTCTCTTTAACTGTTCAACTTCACTTTCAAGTCTTTGAGTTTTATCTAATAATTCTTGCTTTTGCTTATTATGTCAATCCTTTGAAACTTCTAAGGCTTCCAAATGAGAATTGATTTCTTCCTTAGCACTGGATAGTTGCTGTTAAGTCTTTATTCTGCTGTTCCAATCTGCCAACATAACTCTGTGCAATTATTTCTGTTATGGTTGGGGTTTTGACTGGTTCATCTTTCCTTAAATCACAAAAACAATCTATCCTGCTTCTCATAATTCTACCACAATCATTACAATGTGGCAAAGTATTATTATCAAGAGCTTTTTTACACTCAACACAAATATAAGCAATGTCATTGTAATCATTATTGCTTGTATTGTAAGATACTATTTTGTAAGCAACAGTCAAACTCCTTTCTCTTTCAAAAGGACAGAAATTACAATGCCATTTATCTCCTCTCCTCAGCTTGTTAACTTGGTATTCTAATTTCATACTATTTATTCTTTTGTAAAATATAGGCATTGAATTTTCTCTGGTTATTTCTTTTATTTGGCTAACTTTGTTTTTTACTTTGTTAGTTAGGAGTTTAAATTTGTTTTCTTTCCTTGGTAAAACTGGTAGTTCTTGAAGTTGCTTGTCTGCTAAATAATTCTGCCATGCCACAGTTTTCTAGCAGTTCTATTTTTCTCAAAGCTTTTTCTAAGTTATCATTTTTTTTCCTTACTTTGCCTAACTCGCCATTGTCTAGCTACTTCAAGAGCCTCTAATTGACATTCAGATGTTTCCACTTCTAGTTCTAATGCTTCTTTGAGCTCTTGATTAATTTGCTGTAACTCAACAACCTTTTTTTCTAGAAGAGCATCCTTTTCTTTTGATTCTTCTTTTTCTTGATAAGTAAAACCAAAAGCTTCTTCATAATTTAATGCTTCATGACCAAAACTTTTAACAATGTTTTCAGGAGTGAATTTGTTGCTAAAAACAACTCTTCCAATTTCAATTCCATTCTTTTCTGGATAACTTACTCAACCATTGTCAACTCAAGTAAATCTTTCTAAGGTCCTTAAACTTGTTCCAGCATATTCTGAACTTTCAGTAAGATTGTGAACTGCATTTCAGATTTTTAGCTTAAAGTCTTCTTCTTTTTCAGCTAATTGCTTTTTCAATAATTCTATTTCATTTATTAGTGCTTTATTTGTTTGTTGTTGTTTGTTTATAATGTTTACCATGTTTGCCCCTTTTTTTATTTATTCTTTTAATATACTTGTATCCTTTTTATAAGGGTATGTTAAGTATATAAATTATTTTAGTACTTTTTTACTTTAAAAGTGGAAAAGGCTAACAATATTTGTCAAAAGATTAAATTTATTAAACTTGATAACAGCAAGGAAGTAATGAAGGTAATTTTATTCTAAATATTTTATTCATTTCTGGTATAGAATGGTCTTGGGCAAGCAATATCTTTGTATTCATCCTTCACAAATGGACGAATATTCTGGTAAAGATATTCTTGCCTCTTATAATCTAAAGGAGGGGGTGTTAACACTAAAATAGATAAAGCTTTAATCCCTTCAAAAATATCTGCTTTCTTGGTTTTCAATAAATTGAATTCAGCAAAAGGTCCATTAGCAATTCCTTGAACTTTCACTGTACCAAGTTTAGATGCTTCAAAAAGAAAATGTTGATATTTTTGTATACTTGGTAATTTCTTAAAATAAATCCCCAAAATAGCTTTAATATCTAAATATTGAAAACCTTTTCCACCTTCATAACACTGTGCTTTATTTAATCCTGCTGGACTAGACTTTTTTACCACTGAAACTACATGATCCAGACAATCTACTCTTGTTCTTCTGTAGAGTTTTTTAATCATGCCAAAACTACCATCACATTTGAATTT